AAAAATTTAAATATTTATGGCAGTATTTTTATTTTTTTTTTTATTTCGATTGAAAGACAGATGCATCATTTAAAATAAAATTTTGATTTTACTTTAAATCAATGCTTTTCTTTTACATTCAATTCCTTTTGACAAATTTACCGTTGAATCAAAAAATTACTCAATATGTTCGTTATAAATATTAATTTTTAAGAATTCTGACAAATCGTACCGTCTACTATTACGGTATACTCTATCCGATACTGTTCCGAAACTAAACTTCACGTGATTATTGCCACTTAACAAATATATCTGAAGTCCAATTTCACAAACGACCTTGATATCTGAAAATCAGATTCTATCTGAAATTGAATTTCTGATATCACAACTTCAGATAGCGACTGCGTTAAACAATAATCGGGTCAAGTCGAATCCGAGTCGGGCCGTGTCGTATTCGGGTTCTGTAATTTTAACACGGAGCACTATACATGAGACTTGATATCAAGCTTTTTTGACTTGGGATTAAATTATATGATGACCTAGGTCTATCGTATTCTTGTAATAATAACAATTAAAATTCAAGATAAGAAGTTCCGCCATTCAACTGTACATTCATTAAAACAAATTTTTAAGTATTGATGAAAAGAAGAAGTTCTGACACTAAAGTGAATACTTTTAAAGTTTCAACATTAGTAATTAACTTTTTATTTTTAATATTTAAAATAGTGTTTGTATTTTCTTATAGAACTTATTTATTTCAATTTGTGTTAGTGTGTCTAAAATGCTTACAAATTATTATCTAGCTAGCAGAAAAGAATATTACTATATCTCTATTTGTTTCTATCAAAAAGACTTCTCTACTAAAGAAGCATTCTTTATCATAATAAAAAAATAAATAAATAACGAATAATAAATTGCTATTACGAAATTAAATAATTAAATTACTAGAATGGCAACTATGACATTATATCATCAAGAAATATAACTGATCACGATAAAGTTTACAAAAAAGTAAACTATTTAAATGGAGCGATCCAAGCGAAGTATGTTGCTTCGTCTGAAATTTCTCTTTTTGTTATTGCCATTAACTGGGAAGTTTATTAAATCATTTTTCTTTACTTCTTCGTCTTGATTAGAATCCTTTCGATATGAACCTACTACAAAAACACTTTGAGTAAACGAAAGTACAACATCGACATATTGGTCGTTGAGATATGGATTAAATATCTCTAAACACCATTGTCCATACAGAGGGTTGACTACTTCTTTCCCGCATGCTGTAATTGGTAATAATTCGTTTGCAGTGCCATATTTCCCACAAACAGATCGAGTATTAAGATTTCTTTGTGTATCACTAACATATGCATAAAATCCTTTTCCTTGAATAGTTGCTTTGTAATTTGATATTGCGACAGTTTTACCTCCATATTGAGTCGGATCTACTATGGAGTCTGGACCAGCTAACTTTATAGCGTAGCCTAACAAAATAAAAAATGTTGTCAATTAAATTGAGTGCAATATAGGAATTAAATATATTCGATACATACTCGCAAATGCCGTGTTAGAGCATGCGAACCATTCGCTGCCTGCGGGAATATGAATAGTATGGAAAGCAAACTTCACTTCTTGAGCGGAGATCATTAGCACCTAATAATTATCAAATAAATTGTTAGAATAATAATGTAGAAGAGGATAAAGATAAACAATATTTAAAAATAAATCGATGTACCTGTAACAAGAGAAGAGCGATAAAGGTTTTCATTTTCATATAGGTTTTTTTTCGTTTTCAATTGGAATTAATTTTTTTTTTTTTATTGCGAATTAGATTTAAAAAACCTGAAGAAAAAAAATAGCTCTTGTCAGATAATCGGGTATTTATAACAAATTTTCAGACAATTTTTCCTTCCCTTTCTCGTACTCTTTTTGGTATCTTGTATCATAAAAATCTCCTTAAAATTTCGTGATGTTTTCGAAGTGAGTTCAAAGAATTATCTTTCGTTTTCCGTCTAAAGATCTATGCAATTAGTGCATTATCGGATCTTATGCACGTCAATGCAGTTTTTTATGAATGAAGAAACAACCTCTGAACTTTTCTCTTATGCTGAATTACATCCTGATAACGTATAAGATTTCAAAAATGGAGCCAACAGCAACGCAAAAAAAAAAATGTTTAAAAACTTGCGTAACGAAACTAAACCATAAAAGTTAATAAAACAAAAGGTTTCTGGAACATGCAGATCGCATCAAATCCTAGGTTTGCATTGGTTACACGATGTCAAATTTGATTTACTGGTTTGAGTTTTGATGATTAAAAAAAAAATAAAAAATTTGTTTCTAGATATCTGCTATAAAAGTCAATATTACAAAAAGAAAATAGGAAAATGCGGGTCTGAAAGTTTTTGTTACCTAATCTACGTATAAAATTCTCGGAATATCGTTTTAATTGTCACCAAATATAACAAATATGTGCATAATGCAAAATTTAAAAGAAACGATTGGATCAGCAACAAGTTCCTTTGACATTCTGCAGAATAATTAAATAAATGTATCCAGAATTCAATACGCCGTAGGAAACGTGAAACAATCTCGAATTAATTATATTGGTGGAAAAAAAAAAATAACAAATGTTTAACAATTAAACTATACCATAAAAGTCAATAAAACAAAAGGTTTCTGGAAAAAAATGCAGATCGAAATTGGTATTATTAATTAAAAATTTTTCATTTTATTTACGAATCAATGTATCGATGGTAAAACAAACAACGAATAGCATTGTCGAATTAATTAAGATATGACTATAAAGGTATACCATAAAAGTAAATATTGGGTTTCTGTATAATCATTAATGGCGTAAATCCCGTAAACTCCTTATTTATTTCAAGCCGCGCATAACAATTGCGCATACGATGCAAAAATCAAAAACATGGTTTGTAGAATTCATCTTTCATACAAATTCTAATTGTAACAGCGAGTAACTAAATTTAGCACCGAACCTTATTAATTAGTTTTAATATAGTGTCAGACTTGAATTATCTCGGTTCAAACGAGGAAGACTTTATGATACTACTTAAGAGCTTGATTCGTGAAAATTCCTCCGAGCCGATCGAATCGGTTGACCCGACTCGAATTTTTCCTCGATCATTTATGACACGAGTCCTAATTCAAAAAAACTCGTTGGGTCAGGGGCACGTTGTTGCTTGACCCGAATCGACCCGGTTGACCCGGATGATCGGGAGATTTGATTTAAACGATATCATATAAATTGACGCGCTAGACCTGTTTTACGTTACGAGATTTTAATTAGTAACAAATAATATAATGAGTGAACCTATCGACGTTACCGATAGTACTAAAATACGGAGCGAACAATTACAAAAAAATAAAAATAAGAATATTGACTAATACATTTTTTATAGAGCAACAAGTGTTCCAGTAGAACACTTTTTTTTCTGGCGAAACAGATCTGATATCAACCAAAAAGATGTGGTCTTATTTTAATTTATAAATACATATTTTAACGAAATATACATTTTGGTTGATAAAAAATAAATACAAAAAAGGTAAGTAAGTTGACTTAAAAGGAAGATTGTGTTCATATTGCCACTGATCATTGCCTTGTAATATATAAAAAAGGAAAGATTTTCGAAAAAATCTTCTTGCCATTTTTTAAGAAAATATTATTACTGTTTACTGTTACTGTATTCGTTATACTATTTCGGTATTTCGTTATATTGTTTTAGTAATTCGTTATAATGTTTCTGTATTTCGTTATACTGTTTCTGTATACTGTTTTACTGTAATGTTTTAATGGAACAGAAGTTCTTTATATATCAAAAAAAATATCCGTATTTTTTTTTTTTTTACAAATTTTTATGTTTCTAGTCTAGCCTTTTTTAAAAAAATTAAAAATCGGTTTGTATAATTTAATTATTAGATATTGTAAAAAAAAATCTATAACGGCGTAGCTGATCAATGCCTTTTTACTTAATCAAAAAAAAAATATATATAAAAATTAAGCTTAACTTTTTAAGGGTAGACGAGGCGCGATTGATCACTAATATGATTGATTAAATTAAAATAGACAAAACAATTAGTAATCCAAAACAATGTTAAAAAATAATACAAATTCGCAACTTACCTTCGCCCGAACAATCCAATCGACATCCGAATCTAAACCCAAAATCGTCTAAATAAAAAAAAGGAAAATAAAAAAAAAGATTAGTAATCTGATACAATGCAAAAAAAAAACTTACCTTTATTGCAACGGACCGATCGAACCGGACGAAATCATCTGGATTGGACTAAAAAAATGCCCTTGATAAAAACGGATAAGAGAAAAGAGAAAAGAAAAAAATAAATATTAGTAATTAGTAATGCAAAAAAAAAGACTGAAAAAAAATAAAAAAAAAATCCGCACTCACCTTGCCGCAATTAACCGATCAGATCAAAAGCTAAAAAAAAAATAAATAAAAAAATAAATAAAAACATTAACAATACAATAAGAAAAAAAAAGATAGATAAAGAAAAATCCGCATTCACCTTGCCATGAGGGACCGATCAGACGAAACCTGATCAAAAGCTAAAAAAAAAATATAAATAAAAAAATAAATAAAAAAAGAAAAAAAAAAATATTTAATTAGTAATGGAAAAAAAAAATAAAATAGAAAAAAAATAAAATAAAATTCGGTAACTTACCCTTAGCCGTGATGGATCGATCGTACCAAACCGATCGCGCGAAATCTAAGAAAAAATAAAAAAAAAGATAATTTTAATAAAATAGTATAAAAAAAATAAAAATAAAAATCTTAATTAGTAATGAGAACAATGTGAAAATATAGAAAGGAAAAAAATATATATATAATAAAATAAAAAATCCCGGTCACTTACATTAGCTGCGAAAGACCGATTGAATTCTCTAAATCAAGCTAAATAAAAATTAATTTTTAAAAAACAAAAGATATATAAAGGGAGTTTTAATAATGCGAAAAAATAAATAATATAATTATTCAAAAAAGAAAAAAATGCTTTGTGTATTTTCTGCTATAAGATACGTTACCGAAGCGAATACCGTCACTGCTAATAGTTCTAACTTTACTTCCGTTACAAATGGAATAATTGCATATAATGGACCTGCAAATAACAATCCTATATTTATTAGTTTTACTTCGTTTGATAAACAAATGGATTCAGGTTATGTATATTTTATTAATGGAAAATTTGTATGGAATAAAAAGCCAAATAACGGTCCTCAAGAACTTCAGGTAAAAATATTTTTATTTTAATTTATCGTTTTTACTTTTGTTTATAATGAACATAATAGCTAAAAAAATTTTTCTTTAAATTCAAAGTTCAATATAACAACATCATATCAAATTAATATTGATACTAATAATAAACTAGAGCAAGAAGTCGCACTAAAAGATAAAATTTCGCTGCGCAAATTTAATTTCAATAATACTTTCCTATAGTGAATTCTTAAAATTTTATAAGTAATAGAATTTATTTAAGTTTTATGTAATGATGTATTTATAAAATATCAATTAATTTCGTTTGTTTTGTAATTAAAGTCCAGATACATTGTCGTTATAAATATGATTAATAAGTGTACAATTAATGGGAAAATTTCGGACAGGATTTAGGATTATTTTTATTCTAGCTATATTAAATTGTTTTAATTATTTGTAGGAAGTGTTTGTCAACAGGGAACTTTATAAAATAGATCAAGATTAAAAATTAGTTTAACAAAAGAATCTTCTTCAACAATTGAAAAGGACTGTTGACTAATAATAATCTATTGTAATAAGTCATTATTTAAAAATTCTTTACGATTTTATCAACTTTATCCACTATTAAATATAAAGAAGGACGAAGAGTTTTGTGGTTGTTTAAAACCTTTAAAGGTATTTTTTTTTTTAAAAAAAAAATGACGAGCTATGATGTTGATGAAATATGATTTTCTAATAAATATGCAAGAGCGCAGTAAATAACAAATCCATAAGGATTTAATATTCAGCTTTTACTAATTCCATGAGATGAATTCAAACAACAATTTCACTATGATTACGAATTATACTTGTGTAACAATCGCTATACATATGACAAATTCTTCGTTAGTCAACATTCCTGTAAAATTTTGTTTCAGTGATACGTAAAAAAAGATTTAAAGATTAAGGGATCCTTAACCTGTTCTGGGGGTATAGGCTCTTATCCTGTTCCGTAACTGTTTATATCACGTGATATTTACTTAGGACCAGAAGGGTTGCTAGATATTTAAAATTTCAAAATGTATATCGACCGTTCTGATGACGACCCTTCGATAAGTAACAAGCTATGGAACCTTTTTTTTAATATTTCTTAATATTCAGATAAGAATTCTGCCATCCAACTATACGTTTATCGTAACATTTTCAGTTAAGGATTAAGTGATACGAAAAAAAATGGAGCTATTAATATTTAAACATTAATTATTAACTTTTTATTTGTAATATTAAAAATATTATTGATTTTATCTTTGAGATCTTATTTGTCAACGACATGTAGTGTGCATATAATGCTTACTAATTATTACAATAAATCTAATTGTTTCTATCAAAAAAGATAGTCTCTACAATTGAAAAATTTTAACAAATAAAAATTACTATTATGAATTAAATACTAGGAAACGGAAACCGTTTATGGTTATAAATCACATGATCATATAAAAAGTAATAAAAAAAAAAATAAAATAAAATAGATCACTAAAAAAATGTAACACTAAAAAGTTTATCACAAAAATATGTGTCGGTATTTCGCTTAAAAATAAATGTTCTTTAAAAAAAAAAAAAAATAAAATAAAATAAAAATTTCTGTTCCCACAATATTTGAAAAAAAAAATTTTTTAATGCAACTTCTTATTTTACAATCAATTTTAAAGAATTTTAAGTAATACCATTAAAAAAATTATTAAAGATATAAAATAAAATTTTGTTGCACATACGGTGACGTAAACAAAAATATCACGTTACACCTGATCCAAAAATTTCATTGGCTATACACGCGTGCGGACAGACATTGCATGCACATTCTGGGATCCGAATGGAAGTGTCCAACGCTTACGCTTCGGACAATAAAATTACCAAAACGACACGTAATCACCGAAATAAATAATCATAATAAAGTTTACAAATTAATAACCTACTTATACGGAACGATCATGGCGAAGCGCGTTCATTGCTACGCCTAAAATTTTTCTTGTTGTTAGTCATTAATTTTCTTTACGGAGGAGGATTCTGCGTCTTGACCAGTATCTTTTCGATATGAACCTGCTACAAAACACTTTGAGTAAATGAAAAAACAACATCAAAATATTGTTATTGAGAAAATGGGTTGTTTATTTGTAATCACCACAATGAGTCGAAGCAATTGCGCTTTCTCTCACACAAGATGTTGCAGGTATTTCACCAGTTCCACAAGATGAATCTGGGAGAACATTATTTTGTTATCTAAAACAAATGCAATAAATCCATATCCTCCTCGAACAGTAGCTTTATGATTTGGCGTGGCGATAGTTGCACCGCCATAATTTTTTGAATCTACTGTGACTTTTTAACCAGCTAACTTTATAACGTAGCCTAACAAATGGAAAATATTGTCATTTAAATTGAGTAAAAAAATAAGAAGAAATTTTTTCGATACCTACTCGCTTGTGCTATTGGAGTTTCAGAGCATGCGACACACATGCAACTTGCGGGAATCTTAATCGTATTGAAAGGTAACTTCTTCTTGAGCAGAGATTATTAGTACCTAATAATTAATCATAATGTAGAAAGAGGATAAGATAAACATTTAAAATAAATTGACGTAACTGTAACTAGAGAAGAACGATGAAGGTTTTCATATTCATGTAGAAATTTTTTTCTTGTTTTTACTTGAATGATTAGATTTTTTTTATTGCGAACTAAATTTAAAATCCTGAAGAAAAAAAAAGCTCTATTCATTGCAATACAAAGTATTTAGCATTAACTCATTTTTTATTTTTTCAAGCCGTTTCCCCCCTTTCAGTTGCAAAAGGTCCCAGATAATCAACAATTTTTCAGAAAAAAATTTTTTTCCCTTTCTCATTCTCTTTTTGGTATCTTGTACCATAACAACTCCTTGAAATTTCGTGATTTGTTTTCATAACCGATAAGGTTTTACACGTAAACGATTTTCCCGATGCGCATATTAATATTTTAAAATATTATTATATTTTTTGTTTCCGTCCAAAGATTAATGTAATTTCGTGCATTATCGGATCTTATGCACGTCAATGGAGTTATTATCTTATCTGCTGCTAAATAATATCACCTCGATGCGATGTAATATTAATAAAGCGATTTAGTAGAAATTTTATGAATGAAGAAACAACCTCTGAACTTTTCTCTTATGCTGAATTACATCCTGATAACGTATAAGATTTCAAAAATGGAGCCAACAGCAACGCAAAAAAAAAAATTTAAAAACTTGCGTAACGAAACTAAACCATAAAAGTTAATAAAACAAAAGATTTCTGGAACATGCAAATCCTTGATTTGTATTGGTTACACGATTTCAATTTTGAATTTGATTTCGAAGGTTAAAAAAAAATATATATATATATTATATATTTTGGTAAATGGGTCCACAAGATCATTTCTGTACAATAATTAATTGCGTAAATCCCGTAAACTCATTTATTTCAAGCCATCATAACAAAGATTTACCATAAAAGTAAATATAAAAAAAAAAAAGATTCTGTCACAAGAAGATCATTTCTGTATAATAATTAATGACGAAAACCCCGTAAACTCATTTATTTCAAGCCATCATAACAAACAACGGATATCAATGTCGAATTCATTAAGATACGACTATAAAGATTTACCATAAAAGTAATTATAACAAAAAAGATTTCTGGAAAAGGGGTTGGTTCACAAGATCATTTCTGTATTATAAATAATTAATGGCGTAAATCATGTAAACTCATTTATTTCAAGCCATGCATAACAAACAACGAATAGCATTGTCGAATTCATTAAGATACGAAAAAAAAAATTTCAGGCATTACGATGCAAAAATCAAAAAAACTGGTTTGTAGAATTGTCTGTCATACAAATGCCGAATTTTTTAATTTAATGGAACTATGAGAAACTTAATTTTAGCACCGAATCTTATTTGTTTAGTCATATTGAATATTTAATATAATGATCAGACTCTAGTTATCTCGGTTCAGACGAGGTAAGAACTTTATATATCTCGAGTGCATATTATAACGTAGCATTCTAAATCAAAAATGTGAAATATTACAAATTCAAAATGAAATTGCCGTAAAAGTTATTTGATTTAAATTTCGGTTTATTTTCTGCATACAGTATATGTATAAATGACACCAACAAAAAAGCTTATGATATTCTGATTGGCAAATTTGAATGCATCAAACCCCTTGATTATTTTTCATAAAAAAATTTCCCTTAATGGAAATACAACTGAATTTTAAATGACTATCCTTATAAAGAAGAAGATTTTATCGCGACTAATTAAATTTGTGTCTGTGTCTATTCTTCAATATCATTTAACTGTACTGTCTGTCCGTTGATCAATTTTAAATCATAAATATAAATATCAATTCGAATTGAGCTCTTTACCACATTCAAATAATAAAACATTTGAATTGAGCTCCCTACCACATTCAAATAATAAAAATTTTAATTCAACGACAACTAATTATTCCCAGATACTTACAAAATCATGTATATCATTAAGAAACTTAACTTATTTCTATTTATTGCTATTGTGGCATTTATCACTTTCGCTTCTTCTTATGACTACTTAAGAGAATCTAAAGGCAAGAAACAATCATCTTTGATCAAAAGACAGACCGGGTGTCCATACGGAACTTATCTGAGTAGAAACGGGTGTTGTTGCGACAATACTTGTGGTCCTTATCCTGTATTATGCGGTGACGGTACTTGCTGTCGTACCGGCCAAATTTGCGCTAGGAACGGATATTGTCGTTGAATTTTATATTTTAGGAATCATCTGTTAAATAGTATTTACTTAAAATAGATGATAATATTTATATTTTATTCATTTTATCTTTTTGTCCTGTAATATATAACATATTACATAAATCTATATTTCTATGTGTTAAAAATATGTATTTTTTTTTTCATGAAAACGATCATTATTAATAAAGTAATATGTTGTTCACGTAACGTCTTATAAAAATTCAATTTTGAGTTCTGGACTTAGAATGGTTTCGATTTCCTAGTTCATATGCTGTACAGTTAAAAAAAAAAATCTTTCGTTAAGTTTGAAAAATACCACTCTTTATTATAAAATTTATTTCAATTCTTATAATAACAATAAAGGTAATTAAAAAAACTTAAAAATTTATTTACAAATAAAAAATAAGAAATAAGAAATTAGCATACTTAAAAATAAGTTGATTTGATTAGGGATGCTAATGGTCGCGATTGTCATAAAAGTAATAACATGACTATATAACGACACATATAACGTTTGAAATTATTTTTGTTAACATGTATCGAATTACTTTTCATAACTAAATTACATAGTTTTATTTTTTAAGTATTATTTATTATTATTGAAAGGCATAGTATAGTAATAGTTCGTAATTTTATATAAATAGATTCATGGTCATGGCCGGCCTTAATATTTGAAAGTAATTATTGTTTTATTGTTTTTACTTACCCGGTCGATGCCCCGGGTCGCTATCGCGACGAAAAAAAATGTAAGTTTCTTTATTATTTTTTTTTATTATTGCGATTTTAAACAATTTTTGATTTTGATTTTGATTTTTATATAATACGTGCATTGTATGATTTTCAAATCTATATTAGTGTGCGGAAAATATACATTCTATGACAACAGTGTGTGCGGAAATTATTATGGGTTATATTCAAATATCATATAATATCTTATCATATACTGTGCGCAAAAAAATTTTTAGTGCGGAGTTTTCATTTATATATATAAAAATTTTTTCTTAACAGCTGTATTGTGCGGATTTGCGCACACTTTAGAAGAATGAATGTGCGGAAAATTTTCAGTCATGTGCATGCGCACATGACCGCACTGCTAAAATCACACATTAAAGTAAAAAAATAAATAAATAAAAATTATTAACAAAAAACTTTGGCTATTAAATATAAATTAAAAAAACAATTTATTTGATTTATTTCGAATGTTTTAGTTTTTTTTAAATTTATTTATTATTTAATTTTTTTTTTGATTTTTTTTAGTTTTTTTTGTGGTTTTTATTTAAACTTATTTTTTTATTTTTTTTTTATTTTTAAATTACTACCTGCGATTATTTTTGTTTTTTAATTTTTAGGATTTTATTTAATCGGATTTATTTAATTAATAATTAATTTTTTTTAATCTTTTTTGAATAACCGCGATCTTTTTTCTATTTTAATTTTAAAATTTCGTGTCGTGTTCCAGCGATCATTAGTTTTTTTTATTTTTTTTAAGGGTAGATCGGTCGCATTTTTCGGGTAGTTTGTGCGACACGACCGATTTTCTGATACTCTCTTTTTTAAGGCCATGCAATTTCGATTTTTCGGTTTACGTAACATTGAAATTTAAAATCGACCCGGATACCCGGAGTGTCTAAATAAAAAAAAAAAATAAAATAAAAAAAAGATTAGTAATCCGATACAATGCAAAAAAATAAAACCGCTTACCTTAGCCGTGACGGACTGATCGCACTGAACCGATCGCAAGCTAGGAAAGAGAAAAAAAGAAAAAAATATTTATTAATTAAGACGATGTAGAAAACAGAAAGGAAAAAAATAATAAAATAAAAAACGTCTGATCACTTACCTTGCCGTGACAGATCGATCGCACGGAACTGATCACACGAAAGCTAAGAAAGAGAAAAAAAGAAAAAAATATTTATTAATTAAGATGATGTAGAAAATAGAAGGGAAAAAAAAAATAATAATAAAAATCCGGTCACTTACCTTTGCCGTGACGGATCACACTGAACCGATCGCGTGAAAACTAGAATAAAAATATTAATTAAACAATATAAAAAATAAATAAAATATTAATAAAAAATACATAAAAAAAGATTGAATTGTCACTCACTTGAACTGTCGTGACGAACTGCTTGATCTAAATCTAAAAAAAATCGCCTCTAGAGAATAGAAAAAAATAAAAATATATTATTAATTTAAACAATGTAAAAAATATAAGGAAAAAAAAATATTGTTAATTAAAACAATGTAGAAAATAGAAGGAAAAAAAAAAGAATAAAAAAAAATCTGGTCACTTATCTTTGCCACGACGGACCGATCACACTGAACTGATCAAAATCTA